AGATGGCTGACCCAGGTCAAGTCGCAAGGGCCCAGAATTATCTGGACATGGCTGAAGGTGACCTCACACCACTTGAGAACAAGTAATTGATGGATTGATGGGGACATTTCTTTTGGTGGAGTGTTTATCTTGTAGTGATCACTTTTTGCTGGTCCTGAAGTTGTGATGCATCAATTATAGTACACAGGGCTCCAGATAAGGGCTGTATCGGCGTATATACGGATATAAAATAAGCACGATACGGTAGGAAATAATTTAGAAAAGGTAGCAGATACGTAACACAGCAATGGTGTACGGTCTTAGAATCATTTATAGACGTATTTATCTGAAAAAGTATTGTCTTATTGTTCATTGACCTGTTTACACAAGAGTAGCAATGTTGTGGTGCATAAACGAAACACAAGATTACTGATACTCCATTAAATTCCACTCAGTACTCTAAATGTACACCAGTGTATGACATAAACCAAAAGTCCAGCCAGACATCAGGGCTGGTAACTTCAAAATGCTACCAGCCCAAAATGGATTTAACCAGACCAAATATGGTGAATTTACTAACTGTAAATTTAGACCGTCCGTCTGAAATCTAGACCGTCTCAGGCAGTCGGACGGGCCTTATTTCATACACTGTGTACACTTATTGTTTTCTAGTACACCTATATTGAAAAAATAAGGAGTACGTACTCCTGATCATGAAAAATTATCTGGAGCCCTGAGTGCAGAAGACACATGTAGACATTTGTAAATATTAGAACTGTATGTGTAGTCCAGTGGGTATGTTGATTGTAGAAGGGATCTGGCTGGGGCTGTCAGGATACATCTGGTTACAATACAAGTCTGGATGGAATGGTACACCCATGAATACACGACATATGACATGTGGAGGAAACTCTTTTTCATAAAAAAATAGATTGCAGCCTAACTGAAAAACTTTTGGTACTGTTCATTGTTTTTTGGTGAAACAGTGGCTTGAAACTCTGTCGTGTACAAGTCAATTATGGGATATGGTATTTTACAGTTTTGTAGTTCACCCTTATATACTGAACAAGAAATGTTCGGGATAATTTTTTGTAGTGACGATGGAGCACACACTATCATAAAAATACCCCCAAACATATTCCTGACCCCTAAAGCTTTTTGTTATGCTTGTACTGTGTTGTATCCATAAATGACCTACAAATACAGTAATCATGTAGTGAAGTATCGCAATGCATCTCATGCTCAGTGAATTGTTGCGCATTCTGATTCATAATAATATCACTATGGTAACTTTGTAAAAGGCCCACTGGGATTCAAGTGCTGACTTTGTGAACTGCTGCTTGCTGCCGGAGTGAACTAAGGTGACATAGCTAGTTGTGTGGCCCAGTCACAGAGCCTTTCATTAGTTGCCTGGTCTACACTTGGTTATCTTCCCCAGATGTCTGGAACATCATTAACTTGTATGCAGAAACATTGACCGTTCATGCTCTCATATTGTTTTGTGATACACACTATATTCACTGTATTGTGTATGGGACTTAGACCAGGAGTTTGAATGAACTTCTTTAAAAAGAAAGAGAGAACAGGTACAAATTCCCTATGATAATGCAAATTTCCAGATCTTTGACTGTCCTAGAGTGGGTGAGCGAGTATGGCTTTTAGCAATATTCAAGCCAAATCATGGCGGGGAACACCAGAAATGGGCTTCACACATTGTACCCATGTGGGGAATCGAACCCGGGTCTTCAGCATGACGAGCGAACCACTATCATATTGCTGGTCCCTATGCCATTAACCAATTCAACACCGCAGGCCGCTTAAGCGGCCACAACGTTATGAGTCCCCAGACACCGGAGGCCGATTAATCGGCCAGGCAGTAGTCACGTCAAAATCAGACATAATTTTAGGAACTTACCTGACTTATGATTCATGTATTAAATCCATCACATTCACAATGTCTGAAAACACTTATTAAATTTCAGTTGATCATATATTATCGGCAGAATTAAAATTATAAACTATTTTTCGCAGTGTTATTGAAAGCAACGATTCTTGGACACATGCTTCGGCAGCGGGTCCACAATAACATTGTCAAAGAGCAAAGTAACGATGTTTCGAGGAAATCATTAAATAAATTGAATAAACTAATGAATAAAATCAACAACAGCATTCATAAAAGTTGTCAAACGTACATATAAAATTACTATTGCCATCTTTTTGTGCGATCATTTAATGCAAGTCAAGTCACTGACAAGTGACATCTCGGCTCTCGCCGCCTCAATCTTCATGCTCGGACACGATGTTTAATGCGAAAATATATGCATGAAGCATTTTTGTCACAGGTCATAACCTAGCACGATACGTCAAATAAATCCCATAATTTACGTATAGGTAGCGATTTCTTGCTTAATATGTTCAGAATAGCATTATTTTACCTAAAACTTTTGTCTAAATCTAAAGGTTTTCGTTTACGAGGACGGTATCCATTGCCGTAATAGGATTGGCTGCCTTAGGTCACATGTCTGTTTTTGACCAATCACGACCCTTATAGCAGACTGTGGCGAAAAAGCGTCATTAGAAACCAATCTTTATCCAATAAAATCGCTTCTTACAAGTGTGAAAATACTCTTGGCAAGGATATAGTGATATTGTTGATGTTCAGAGCTTTCGAACGATGCCCGACATCAAGCGATTAGCCTCGCATGTTATTCATACAAAGCTTCGAAAACGGAGGTATTTTCCGTTGTTATGTCATGTTACCGAGCGAAAAGCCACTGATATCGGGAAATAGGCGACCATACATATTATTTAAGAAATCTTTTTATAATAATTTTCTGATTACGTAAAAATGAAAATATAAAAGAAAAAGTCACGGGCATGTTATGACATGTCACAAATGGAAAAAAATCGCTATAGTTTTTGCTTCTTTCGTGGTTTATCTGGACATTATAAATGTAAACTTGCATTTTCATTAAAAAATAAATTTATTTAAGTTGTAGTTGTATTATTTGAATAATATTATAAAAATAAACTTCATATTTATCAACAGTGGGATTAGATCTTTTAAATGGTGTATGAGATGTAGTAGTAATAACGTTTTAAAAGCTTATAATTTCCTTCATAAACATTGGCTTCATTTATGACCTTAGAGTCTCTGGGAACTCGGTGTCATGGCAGTAAATGCCTCTGGTTGACTGGTGTTGAAAGAGTTAATAACAAATATACAAATGATCCATGATTTTTTATATATACATATTTATAATTATATGCAGCTTATTTAGCAACTAAAGGTAAGGAATTCAGATTTAGTTTTTGTTAGTAACATTAATGCAGAACTATGTCCAAGTCCATGTTCAGACCATGTCCCCATGTTTCATCCTAAAAATGTGGATAGTTAGTTGTGGATGTGGGTGAGAACCTGATGACAGATGGAGATGAAACTGCTCCCTTGCAGTGTCTGCTGACTGATGATCATGGGAGGTCCTTCAGACGGTGTTTCATTCAGGTTGCTGTGTACAGCTGAGGTATAGCCGCTTGATGCATTAAATCCCATTCACTGATTGAGCCACTCCATCTAATATCAGGAAGAAGACAATGGAATTGCTTCTGTACAACTAAAAGGTTTTCCATTTCAAACAGGCTGCTCTTTAAGAATGTATGCCCGGGTTGTGAGACATACTTGAGAGCAGTAATTCCATCATCAGGAGGAGACAATGTGTGGATGTTGTAATAAGCACAGACATGGTATGTGTGTAGTCATGATTCAGGCTTTTAAACAATGCATTAGGAGTTGGTATTGGAGTCAATGTGAGTGGAATAAAATCTACCGTCTGATGAGAAATGCCAAGCTTTTTTGGGTGAAAAGTGGTAAGTCATTTGCAAGCTTTAAGATATGCTGGGTATTACGTGTATTGATTGAAGGACATCTGTAGGGAAGGAGTCATTAATCACCACATGAAATGGATTTCTACAGACCAGTGGGTCATCGCCAGGATCGTATCGTTCATCAGCTCTACAGAAAGTGATATCAGTCCTGGACTTGAGAACTTCCATGCCTTATCTTTTGTCATGACCAGAGTGCTTTGTTCACTTTGTTTCAGGGCTGGTATTTCTGGGTACGAATATATCCACCGTATGCCATGTTTGTCAAAACAGGCAACAAATTAGTGAGTTAGTGAGTGAGTAAATGAGTGTAGTTTTACACCACTTTTAGCAAAAGTCCAGCAACATCACGGTGGGGGACACCAGATTGGATGGCTACTGCTATAGCTACACTGGTACCTTGAGTTGGAGTGAGTGAGTTGGGTTAAACACCATGTTTAGAAGTATTTCAGTTATGTCAAGTTGTGCCAGAATAATGTCATAAGAATGCCTTAATGCATCAGAGATCTTAAACGTTTATACCTTTGGCCAAGGGGAGATGATCTGGAAAGGCTGACTTTCATTTAGGGAATGGAGCAAATAGGATACACACATCATTCATTTCCTGCCGGAATCGGTTATTGATAAGGAGTTCTACATTGATCTTCCTTCTGATGTGTTCCAGGGTGTGGTGTGGATGTTCCGTGTGTATACTCCATCTGTACATTGATATTGACCACTCCTTGAGTGGTGGACAACAAACATTGTGTCAGTAGGCCTCAGACTGCATCCAGGGATACTCACAGCTTTGACCAGGACTTGTTCTGTAAAGGCTTTCTGTGACAGGGTGAAGAGAGACTGATGGCAGGGTTTTACATGACGCAGGATTCCTGCGTATTTGACGCAACAATTTTGTTAAAGACTCTCAAAATATTATCGTATGAGTCAAGCTTGACGCAAGTTTTATGGGTGACCCTCAGAAGTCAGTTCAGAGTCAATAAAATCGATTTGATAGCAAACAATGATAGTTTTCGTGAGGTCTTCATTAATTTAGATTTTTCTTTCAATTCATGTTACTAACTGTATGTTACAGGGAATAAATCACAAGCCTGAATATGTGTTCAGTATGCTGGAGTTTGTTATGACTGAACTGAACTGTGAAATATATACTATTTATTAACCAACATATAAATGACAATACAACACAAAACAATAAACTCTTTGCAAAACTCTTGCTTTTTGATATACACACATAAGTATTACGCTAAATATTCACGACTCCCAAATATTGAAAATGACTCCCAAAAATAAATACTGTGGGTCACCATGACTCTCTTTTTTCAAAGTCTGTGTAAAACCCTGTGATGGTTGCACCCTGGGCAACAAAATGGTGTTGCAGGGCTATTCGAAAGTTGTATTCATCAATGGTTGATCATGCACCTGAGACGTTTGACCACTAACCAAAACTGTCCATAGTGTTACGGTAGCAGTGAGAGATGCACTCATCAGAGGTTTCTTCTGTATCAGAGACATTTGACCTCTGACCAATACTGTCCTTTGTGTTGCAGGGCTATGTGAGAGATGCTGAAGAGCTGGAAGGTGATAGGTGGCCTCCTGGCCTTCTGGCTGGTCATCATGATCTACATGAGCAACTCCCTGATGCAAGGTGGGGAGATTAACCAGCGGGCAGAGCAGCAGCTCAGGAGAGCCTTAGATGAACTGGACAAGGTCAAGGCCCAGAACTTGGAGCTGCAGCAGTTAGCAGCTGACTTAAAGTAAGTACTGTAGAGTGAGTAGGAGGTGGATGAATGAGTAGGACGTGGGCAAGAAATAGGAGCTGTAACAGGGAGTAGGAGGTGGACCAGGGAGTAGGAAGTGCACCAGGGAGTAGACGGAGGACGAGGGAGTAGTAGGTGGACCAGGGAGTAGAATCTGGACCAGGGAGTAGGAGGAGGACCAGGGAGTAGGAAGTGCACCAGGGAGTAGAAGGCAGACCAGGGAGTAGGAGGTGGACCAGGGAGGAGGAAGTGCACCAGGGAGGTAGAAGGTGGACCAGGGAGTAGGAAGTGGACCAGGGAGTAGAAGGTGGACCAGGGAGTAGGAAGTGGACCAGGGAGTAGGAAGTGCACCAGGAAGGTAGAATGTGGACCAGGGAGTAGGAAGTGCACCAGGGAGGTAGAAGGTGGACCAGGGAGTAGAAAGTGCACCAGGGAGTAGAAGGTGGACCAGTGAGTAGGAAGTGGACCAGGGAGTAGGAAGTGCACCAGGGAGGTAGAAGGTGGACCAGGGAGTAGGAAGTGCACCAGGGAGGTAGAAGGTGGACCAGGGAGTAGAAAGTGCACCAGGGAGTAGAAGGTGGACCAGGGGTAGGAAGTGGACCAGGGGGTAGGAAGTGCACCAGGGAGGTAGAAAGGTGGACCAGGGGAGTAGGAAGTGCACCAGGGAGGTGAGAAGGTGGACCAGGGAGTAGAAGAAAGTGCACCAGGGAGGTAGAAGGTGGACCAGGGAGTAGGAAGTGGACCAGGGGAGTAGGAAGTGCACCAGGGAGGTAGAGAAGGTGGACCAGGGAGTAGGAAGTGCACCAGGGAGGTAGAAGGTGGACCAGGGAGTAGAAAGTGCACCAGGGAGTAGAAGGTGGACCAGTGAGTAGGAAGTGCACCAGGGAGTAGGAGGTGGACCAGGGAGTAGAAGGTGGACCAGGGAGTAGCAGGTGGACCAGGGAGTAGCAGGTGGACCAGGGAGTAGCAGGTGGACCAGGGTGTAGAAGGTGGACCAGGGAGTAGGAGGTGGACCAGTGAGTAGGAAGTGGACCAGGGAGGTAGAAGGTGGACCAGGGAGTAGAAAGTGCACCAGGGAGTAGAAGGTGGACCAGTGAGTAGGAAGTGCACCAGGGAGTAGGAGGGGTGGACCAGGGGAGTAGAAGGTGGACCAGGGAGTAGCAGGTGGACCAGGGAGTAGCAGGTGGACCAGGGAGTAGCAGGTGGACCAGGGTGTAGAAGGTGGACCAGGGAGTAGCAGGTGGACCAGGGTGTAGAAGGTGGACCAGGGAGTAGGAGGTGGACCAGTGAGTAGGAAGTGGACCAGGGAGGTAGAAGGTGGACCAGGGAGTAGGAAGTGCACCAGGGAGGTGAAGGTGGACCTGTGAGTAGCAGGTGGACCAGGGAGTAGAAGGTGGACCAGGGAGTAGAAGGTGGACCAGGATGTAGGAAGTGGACCAGTGAATAGGAGATGGACCAGGAATAGAAAGTGGACCAGGGAGTAGGAAGTGGACCAGGGTGTAGTAGATGGACCAGGGAGTAGAAGGTGGACCTGTGAGTAGCAGGTGGACCAGGGAGTAGAAGGTGGACCAGGGAGTAGAAGGTGGACCAGGATGTAGGAAGTGGACCAGTGAATAGGAGATGGACCAGGAATAGAAAGTGGACCAGGGAGTAGGAAGTGGACCAGGGTGTAGTAGATGGACCAGGGAGTAGAAGGTGGACCAGGAGGTAGGAAGTGGATCAGGGAGTGGAATGTGGACCAGGGTGTAGGAGATGGACCAGGGAGTAGGAACTGGACCTGTGAGTAGAAGGTGGACCAGGGAGTAGAATGTGGACCAGGGTGTAGGAGATGGACCTGTGAGTAGGAAGTGGACCAGCGAGTAGGAGGTGGACCAGCGAGAAGAAGGTGGACCAGGGAGTAGAAGGTGGACCAAGGAGTAGGAAGTGGATGAGTGAGTAAGAGGTGGACCAGGTAGTAGAAGGTGGACCAGGGAGTAGAAGGTGGACCAGGGTGTAGAAGGTTGACCAAGGAGTAGAAGGTGGACCAGGGAGTAGAAGGTGGACCAGGGTGTAGAAGGTGGACCAGGGAGTAGAAGGTGGACCAGCGAGTAGGAAGTGGACCAGGGAGTAGGAAGTGGACCAGGGAGTAGGAAGTGGACCAGGGAGTAGAAGGTGGACCAGGGTGTAGGAGATGGACCAGGGAGTAGGAACTGGACCTGTGAGTAGGAAGTGGACCAGGGAGTAGGAGGTGGACCAGGGAGTAGAAGGTGGACCAGGGAGAAGAAGGTGCTTCAGGGAGTAGAATGTGGACCAGGGTGTAGGAGATGGACCTCTGAGTAGGAAGTGGACCAGCGAGTAGGAAGTGGACCAGGGAGTAGGAAATGGATCAGGGAGAAAAAGGTGGTGCAGGGAGTAGAATGTGGACCAGGGTGTAGGAGATGGACCTGTGAGTAGGAAGTGGACCAGCGAGTAGGAGGTGGACCAGGGAGTAAAAGGTGGACCAGGGAGTAGAAGGTGGACCAGGGAGTAGAAGGTGGACCAAGGAGTAGGAAGTGGATGAGTGAGTAAGAGGTGGACCAGGGAGTAGAAGGTGGACCAGGGAGTAGAAGGTGGACCAAGGAGTAGAAGGTGGACCAGGGAGTAGAAGATGGACCAGGGAGTAGAAGCTGTAATGGGGAGTGTAGGAAGTGGAGCAGGGTGTAGGAGATGGACCAGGGTGTAGAAGGTGGACCAGGGAGTAAAAGGTGGACCAGGGTGTAGAAGGTGGACCAGGGAGTGGAAGGTGGACCTGTGAGTAGAAGGTTGACCAGGGAGTAGAAGGTGGACCAGGGTGTAGAAGATGGACCAGGGAGTAGAAGGTGTACCAGGGAGTAGAAGATGGGCCAAGGAGTAGGAAGTAGACGAGTGAGTAGGAGGTGGATGAGTGCAGGGGAGGGTGGAATTGTAACTAAGTGAGTGATTGGAGATGTGTTAGTAGCATTTCATGCCTTAAACAATTTCATGTGGAACCTGTGAACAAAAAGTTTAGAATCGTACAAGGATCAACACATATTGAATGGAACATGGGTCTTATGTGTAAAGAGCACATGCTGTAACCACTCGCTGTCTTATTCCAGAGTGAGATAGGGGTATTGTGTTTGCACATCTAACTACAGCAGGGGACACATTGTACCCATGGAAATCTAACAAACATTTGTTGTCACGGGATGACACTTTAACCACTAGGACAACCCTAATTACTGAGAAGAAAATATTACTTTCTTCAAAAGTTTAACATATGAAATTTAAAATTTAGCAATAGGCATAGAATCTTTAAGAGAAAGCAGTGTTAATTCTTTGTTACCGAAAATAAAAACCTTTTACATTAAAAAGGTCAGATGTTGTGAATGTGCTTTTGAAATGTCTGAAATAAAATCTTTTAGCCTGCCATAGACGAGGCAGGAGATGTTCTCTTATTCATCTCAGCTAAATGATTCAGCGAGGTTAACTGGTGTGGTATTTAAAGATGGTTTGTTATAATACTTCTAGTTTTCAGCATAGTTTTACTTTACAATGTATGTCATCCTGTACATATATAATTGATAACATATGGATTTTGTGGCAATTAGGATGTGGTACATTAGTAATGGCAGCATATAACAGGTAATTGCTGTCAGTTTATAGGTATTCATATGTATATATTGGTTCATGAAGGACAGATATTTTCTGTTTATTTTTCATATGTGATGATGTTTTCATTCACTTTTTCACAATAATATGTAGGTAAGACTTAAATTGCTGATATGAGATGTTTTCATTTTTAAGTCATCTCACTGAGACTCAAGTTTGCTTGTGTTGTAAAGTCTACCAAAGTTTGTGGCTGGAAAACATTTTTTCATCACAAACCAGTGGACTAAACATGGCTAAAACTGCACCTGTATGCTCCCACGAAGATGAAACCTCAATTCCAGGTTTTAATAAGTCAGTGCATCCATACAGATAAATAAGTTTATGGCCATTAGTCAGACATACTTTTGGGGCGGTGGGGTAGCCTAGTGGTTATAGCGTTCGCTTGTCACTCCGAACACCCAGGATCGATTCCCCACATGGGTACAATGTGTGAAGCCCATTTGTGGTGTCCCCCGCCATGATATAGCTGGACTATTGCTAAAAGCAGCGTAAAACCAAACTCAATCAATCTGATATACTTTTTCTTCAAAATGGAAAAACAACTTTTTCTTCATGTTATGTAGTTTGTAAGAGGACAAATTTGCCCTTTTTTTAGCTAATGGACCACACTGATAGATAAAACTTCAGAAGGTTATTACTTTGCCTTCTGTTCAGAATGTATCCCTTTGAAAACAATGTTGTATGTTTGACAATTTGACATTAACAGACTTCCTTTAAACTAGCTGCTATGTGACACTATTTGAAGGGGCATGTAGAAGCTGTAATACCTGTTGTTACTTCTCATCCTGCCACAACTCCCCACCCCCACACACACACACTCCCCCCTTGCTCTCTGTGGCAGGTCACACTGACAGTCAGTAGTTTTCCAGGAGTGGCATCATCCATACACTTTAAGAACATGAACATCTGGGATTTGTTTAGGGGATATAGTTATGGAAGCATTAGTTACTTCGGTTAAATAGCCAATAATACTGTGATGTACCTTCCTTAGACTGGCAGGGATGACGATTGTAGAATATATTCATTACTGTCTGTAAATTTATCTTCAGGCTGTTTCAATATGATCGGCAATTAACCTGTCGACACTTGCTCTAAACAGCCTCAACTTACAACAGTAACTGTGATTGTGTTACCGCTAAGATTGTTTTGTTGGGATCTGGGGTCTGTTACATGAAGTTATCTTAGCGCTAAGTACTTGTTCCGACTGTGAGTACAAGCTGTAGGCTGGCAGTATGGGACAGAGCCGAGTGCATTGTTCCAATCATGACTTTTGTATCGAGTAGTGGGTGCTGTTTTGGAGTCATGCATTATTCAATGGAAATTGCCTGCTCTAGTCAGAGGCATAATTTCTGGTTGTACTGAATTGAAGAGGAACCTAATATGGTTGAACTGTGTCATTTGTTTGTTATGAATTATTGATCATAAATAAACCTTACAATTACACAGATAGAGTGAGTGCCGTTTGATCAGTTTGTAGCTCAATAATCAATGTACATGGTGTAAGAGCAATATAGAGGTATTTTGTGAATAAAATACTCAGTGGTGGAGCCATTTGTATAGTTAGTATTGATGTACAATAGGCTGCGAGTGTCTTATTGATTAACACCCAACTAACCTCTGTTTGGAAGCTTTCAGTTTTGACTTCTGTAATCGTGGGAAAGCAGTTACCTTGTTAAGTGGACCAGAAGCAGTGGGCTGGCATTTACTGGTGGCATTTAAACAATTGCAAGTGTATTTCACTTGGTAAAAAATGGTGTCAAAATTTTGTTCTCCCATTGCATTATTTGCATACAGAGTATTCGGACTTATCAAACAGTAGATTTCTGGTGATAGTGATCCCATCTGGATAGGGGGTTCCAAAGCTTCTGCACATTAATTGGATTGGTCGATGGAAATACTGAGTTGCACTGCCTCTGTCATATATAATAGTGAACTGAATACCAGTCAACACTTGTCATGATACCTGGCTATCTGATTTGCCAGTCAGTGTCCTCCTGAAGCCATACGATCCTGTGGTCATTATTTTGATGCCTACAACTGCAAAGATGCACATAGAGATTTTTTCTGGGTTACATCTTCTTTTCATTCTTGAGTACAACGTTTCAGGGCTTGTTCTGGCCCCATCATCAGGTAAAACTGAACAGTTACTGTTACCCAGAAAAAATCTCTATGTTCATCAAACAGCATCTTCAAAAATGCCAATCAAGCATGCAAAGATGCAGTGAAGTTTCAAGGGTACAGAAACACAAGACACAAACACATCCTTGGAAGAAGATCACTGTTTGTATCATATTTAACCCTGTGTTTTCTAGTTTTGTGAGTGTTGGCTGTATCACTTCATTTTGGTAATTAATTGACGTACAACATGTCACAAAAGTAGTCCTGATTGATGATAGTTGACAAGGACCACTAAAACATATCATCCAACATACTTAAGTGTTGGATAGTTGCCATCTTCTGTTGGATCAAGACCCATGAAGATCCGGGTTAGAATTGGTCTTCAGTAACCCATGCTTGTCATAAGAGGCAACTAACGGGATTGGGTGGTCAGGCTCACTGACTTGGTTGACACATGTCATAGTATCCCAATTGTGTAGAATGTAAATGATGTTCATGATGTTGATCACTGGATTGTCTGGTCCAGACTCGATTATTTACAGACCGCCACCATATAGCTGGAATATTGCTGAGTGCCGCGTTAACCAACCAACTTAAACCAGGACCGTTCAGTCAGGCTGTAGAGCACTTGGCTGCTTGCCACAATGATAATGGGTTTCAACAAATGTTTAAGAACATGGGTTATATTCTTTCTTCAGAATCTGAAATGCTGCGAAATTATGCTGAGAAATTTGTGAATCTGATGTACATTCAAAAACATTCAGTGAACATTTGAATGCACTCTTTCACTCCTGACAACAGTTCAGCACCAATGCAGTTCCTCATCATGTATTGTGATTTTAACATTATCACTTTGATGATGTGACTTGTAGTCTGTGATTCTTAGGTGCAAGTGCTTCAACTTAGCTATGAATAAACCTAAAACAGACCACAAACAACCTCCAGTTAATAAACAAAAAAAATTATGATATTACAGATATTTTGTAGGTGTTATTTATGGTTTCTTTAAAGGACATTCAGTGCAATTCAGTTCTCTCACATCAAATGCATCACTTTGAAAACCCCCGTGAAGGTCCGGGTTAGAATGAACCTTCAGTAACCCATGCTTGTTGTAAGAGGCGACTAACGGGATCGGGTGGTCAGGCTCGCTGGCTTGGTTGACTCATGTCATCTGTTCCCAATTACGCAGATCGATGCTCAGGCTGTTGATCACTGGATTGTCTGGTCCAAACTCGATTATTTACAGACCACCGTCATATAGCTGGAATATTGTTGAATATGGTGTAAAATTAAACTCAGTCACACACTCACTTTGAAAAAGGTTTTCGGTGGATGATACAGAATCAGATAGTATCTGAAGACAGTTTTATACTGGTTCTTAAAGGCACTATATCACACTTCTCTAAAAATAAATAATGCATTTCTCTCAATAATACTATCAGCCCTCAGGGAAGCTACCATATAATATATTCCACAAAAAAGTATGTATTTAGCTTACAATGTTAAACAAAAAGTTCGAACGAATTAATGCAACATTGCATTAAATTGAATCACGTGCGACAGTTTTTGATGTACGGCACAATTGTTTACATTCTATATATGGCCAGTGTTCTCTATTTGGAAGCTGTTCGCCTCGAAGTTTCAATTATCGATTTCAGGCAAGTCGTAAGGGCTAATAAGTATTTTATTGCATCAATAGGAAGCTAAAGTGAGTGCATATGCTGCAATATATAGTATGACCAGAAATTATTGAGAATTTTAGGAATATGTTTAATTGGATTTCTAGTATAAACAACCTTGACCAGCTATCAAGTGCTTGGTTTCATTCAAGAGAGACAACTCCGTTAATCCTTTTTCATTAGTTGGTGAAGAGTTATCCCCTTTGTTTACTTGCTAGCAGACGACATTTTCAGTGATCCTCAGTATATGGATGATTTAGAGAAGAGGAAGTTGATTTTAGAGTATTATAACAAGGACATCAGATCAGCTAAAGTGATTTCAAGTAGAACAGGCATCCCTTTGTCCACTGTTTATCGTGTTTTGAAAAATATTGCAAATGGATATGGCATTGAGCACCAGGGAGGCACAGGTAGGCCCAGAAAATTGACTGTCGGTGACCGGTGGCGGCTTGGTATTCTTGTTTCTAAAAACAAATGAAGGAGTTTAGAAAACTTAAGGCTTGATATGATTGATAGAGGAACTGTGGCTGTCTGTAAGGAGACAATTAGAACTGAGCTGCATGCAATGGGTTGGCAGAAAAGTCGAGGAATTCCATCACCGATCATGATACCTGAAGTAAAGGAGCGAAGGTTGAACTGGTGCTTACAGCATAGAAATTTTAACTGGGACAATGTGATTTTCTCAGATGAAAGTTCTGTGTGGCTGTTTCCTAATACACTGAAATTCTGGACCAAACAAACTGAAAAACCTTTGTATCAGCGCCCAAAGTACAGTCTGAAATTTAACGTGTGGGTTGGCATATCTGTGTTAGGGGCAACGTCCCTCTGTGTATTTGAATGGAATATGAACAGTGAGCGGTACAAAGATATTCTTGAGGGACATTTACTTCCATCTGCTCACGTGTTCTATGGAAATTTTTGGATTTTCCAGCAGGACAACGACCCAAGACATCGTTCAAAGCATTCACAGGCCTGGTTTCGGACCCAAAATATGACATTATTAGATTGGCCAAGCTATAGCCCTGACCTAAATCCAATAGAAAATGTTTGGGGACTTATGAAGGAAAGTATCAATAAGAAAAATCTGACAAATATTGCTGAAATGAAAGAAGAGGTGGTCTGATATTGGGACAGCATGGACCACGACTTTCTAACTTCTTTGATCAGTAGTATGCCCCGCCGCATTGAAGCCTGCATTGCTGCCCATGGTGACTTGACAAAATACTAACTGTTCACCTGTCTTTGAATCTGGAGTTATGTTCAGCTAATATTCACATTTAATACGTGAGTAATGAGTGAAAAAAATAAATAATTTACAATCTTTAAATGCTCAATAATTTCTGGTTGTACTGTATCTATAACATAGGCCAAAACAGTGTAAAAAATGTGTGACATTGTGCCTTTAAAGAGTATCAGATATCGTCAGAATTTATAAAAACAGCAGTACCAAAATTATTGCTAATTGGAGTATAAAGGAAATGTGTTTGTTGGTTTTTTGTTGCTTGTTTTTAAACATTTTAGCATGAACTGTTACTCTCATCAAAGTTTGATAACATGTTTGATCATGAGGCTCAGCATGCGACTGTGATGTCTGAAATCTACTGTTTGGTAAGTCCAAATACTCTGTATACAAATAATGCAATGGTAGAACAACAAGTTTGATAACATCTTTTACCTGAAATACTGTTTAGCTGGCTATTTGTCTGGTTAAGAGAGGTCAACTTAAACTGGAATCCAGATATGGTTTAATAATTTTGTCCTCTTTGAGAGGATGTATGAACAAATGCATTTGCCATTAAATGTTGTAGACATTCAACTTGACTGACCCAGGTGATTGGAAACACACACACGCATGCACCATATCCTTGACTCTAGGTTTGGCCAATGTGGTTGATGTTCAGCCTTTGTTCTGTGGGATTTCCTATCAAATTTAACTGACAAACCATATCTAGATAGCCAGCTAGATCTCCAGTGAGTGTCTGTGTGTACATCCTGGTATTTTGTCCATCTTTGTTGCAGACAGATCCAGGAAGAAGGGGGAGGAAACAATGATGGCACTCTGTCCCGCCTCCAGCAGAGACTGAATAAAGCCAACCAAGAAATCCAAAGACTTGTCAGTAGCCATGGATCACCAGGTAGATCATATTCATGTTTTCAGTATACAACCTCAATACAACTGTTCCATCGTCATGGTAGTGGGGTGTAAATACTTGAATCTGGACCAGATAATCCAGTGGTCAATATTAAGACCAAGAAGTCACATTGTGTGAATACAAAGTCACACAATCGGTTAAGTCATTAAGCCTGACCACTTATTCCTTTGGTCACCTCGGATGACCCAGAATCTCCATGGAGTTCAGAACACTTGTACCCAAACCTGTTGCCCAAAGCTGAGTCCTTCAGCTGTGATTGGCTGGATCTTGGTATGAATCAAGATATTCCAGTTAGATCTTCCTTCATCTGTCAGCACCCTACTTTAACAAAATGGTAAATCTGGGTTCAACCTTCATAGTGCTGATATGCATGATATGACTGAAATATGGTTTTATGGTCAAAGCAAGCTCTCAGGGTTTTGAGATAGCGACATTAGCCTAGTGGTTAAAGCGTTTGCTCGTCATGTTGATGATCTGGGTTCGATTTAAAAAAAGGTACAATGTGTTAGGCCCATTTCTGCTAAAAGTGGCCTAAAATCTGACTCATGTTAAGCCAACTCACTCACACAAGTGTATAACTGTTCACATATCATACTCATCTCTCGGAGAGCAATAGAATAGAAAGTTAAACACAAGCATAGATTTTAGGATACAGTTCATGTTTGTTTACAGGTAAATCCAATGAACCAACTGCAGATCATGAAAAATCTTTACGCAAAGTAGAAAATACAGCTGTAGAGTTCTGGTATTTCATGCGGTCCCAGTTAAAGAAGATCAAGGATAATGCTGGGGGCAACACGGATATCACAGCCAAGGTGGACCAGGTCCTCGGTGACGGTGCTAACTATCAACGGTTTGTACATTACTTTAAACAGTCCACAGAGTCTGTTAACCTGAAGTTCTGATATATAGCTGGCAAGAAATACATTTATTACCCACGTGGTCAACGTATGGGTAGTTGCATACTAATCTCGTACGTCACACGAGTGTCGTATCGCGTTGACCTGTGTCGTAACGACTTGACCTGAGATTCTAACGATTTGATTGGATAACCGATGACCTCTCAATTAGGTCACATTCTGACGTAACTATTATTTCATTCATAACAAACATGTGAATCCATTCATTCTACAACTTAAATGCATTGTGGGAATGTAAACATCGCGAACGTTGTCGTGTCGCTGTTTAATTGTGAGCCGAACTGAGACATTATACCCGTCATTTAAAAACGTGAAACGCAATATTTCCACCAGTGATGTTAGCCAAATGAAGCAACTGCAAACCAAGAAACGGGTGCAACGGAGTAGTTTACTGTAGGAGGCTGTACGAGGCGATGACAACTGACATGCATCGTGGACGCCGGTTACCAAGGTAGTGACGCCATTACAGTGACGCCATGCAAATATTGTACTACAGTGCAAAACTCTTCTGCAACCTCTTTATGAAACCGGTTTCGGTTTGAAACCAAAATATTAACAAAAATACGCTATTTTGTCAATTTAATGCATGTAAGACGGGTAATAATAAATAATATTACTTTGACTCGGTTCATTACATAGAAATTATACGAACTGGTGATCTTCCTTAAAGATATCTGACCTCGCTTTCGCTCGGTCAGATACCATAGGAAGGACACTCGTTTCGTATAATTCCTATGTAATGAGACCTCGTGTAGTATTCTCTATGTATGTACCTACTGGTGTTAGTAAAGTGTCAAAGTCAGTTGATAACCTGAAGTTCTGATATATAGCTGGCAAGAAATACATGTATGTACCTACTGGTGTTAGTAAAGTGTCAAAGTCAGTTGATAACCTGAAGTTCTGATATATAGCTGGCAAGAAATACATGTATGTACCTACTGGTGTTAGTAAAGTGTCAAAGTCAGTTGATAACCTGAAGTTCTGATATATAGCTGGCAAGAAATACATGTATGTACCTACTGGTGTTAGTAAAGTGTCAAAGTCAGTTGATAACCTGAAGTTCTGATATATGGCTGGCAAGAAATACATGTATGTACCTACTGGTGTTAGTAAAGTGTCAAAGTCAGTTGATAACCTGAAGTTCTGATATATAGCTGGCAAGAAATACATGTATGTACCTACTGGTGTTAGTAAAGTGTCAAAGTCAGTTGATAACCTGAAGTTCTGATATATAGCTGTCAAAGCAAACCTGAAATATATGGCAAGAAATACATGTATGTACCTACTGGTGTTAGTAAAGTGTCAAAGTCAGTTGATAACCTGAAGTTCTGATATATAGCTGGCAAGAAATACATGAAATACATGTATAACCTGTTCTGACTGGCTACATGTATGTACCTATGTTAGTAAAGTGTCAAAATGAGTTGATAACCTGAAGTTCTGTATATAGTAAAGTGTCAAAGTCAGTAAGTTCTGATATATACTGGCAAGAAATACTAACTTTCTCTCCAGAACACTACTGGTGTTAGTAAAGTGTCAAAGTCAGTTGATAACCTGAAGTTCTGATATATAGCTGGCAAGAAATACATGTATGTACCTACTGGTGTTAGTAAAGTGTCAAAGTCAGTTGATAACCTGAAGTTGATATATAGCTGGCAAGAAATACATGTATGTACCTACTGGTGTTAGTAAAGTGTCAAAGTCAGTTGATAACCTGAAGTTCTGATACATGTATGTACCTACTGGCAAGAAAATAAAGTCAGTTGATAACCTGAAGTTCTGATATATAGCTGGCAAGAAATACATGTATGTACCTACTGGTGTTAGTAGTTCTGAAAGTGTCAGTTGATAACCCTGAAGTTCTGATATATAGCTGGCAAGAAATACATGTATGTACCTACTGGTGTTAGTAAAGTGTGAAAGTCAGTTGATAACCTGAAGTTCTGATATATAGCTGGCAAGAAATACATGTATGTACCTACTGGTGTTAGTAAAGTGTCAAAGTCAGTTGATAACCTGAAGTTCTGATATATAGCTGGCAAGAAATACATGTATGTACCTACTGGTGTTAGTAAAGTGTCAAAGTCAGTTGATAACCTGAAGTTCTGATATATAGCTGGCAAGAAATACATGTATGTACCTACTGGTGTTAGTAAAGTGTGAAAGTCAGTTGATAACCTGAAGTTGATATATAGCTGGCAAGAAATACATGTCTGTACCTACTGGTGTTAGTAAAGTGTCAAAGTCAGTTGATAACCTGAAGTTCTGATATATAGCTGGCAAGGTATTTAAATGTACCTACTGGTGTTAGTAAAGCTTGAAAGTTTATGTGAGGTAAAACATACAAAAACTGAAACCTTTCTACAGATAAGAATATATGTTTCAGGACACTGAGAAATGACTTTGATAGTCTGCGTAATGTGGATGGTATGAAGGACTGGAGAGACCAAGAGTCAAAGGAGCTGGGAGACATTGTACAGAGGAGGCTGCACTATTTACAAGTAGGTTGTCATGGTGATTCTCTTCTTGGTTGTCACTGTTTGTTTAAAGGATCTGCATTAGTCATCTAAGCACTTGAATTCGTTATGTTCCTTAGCCATGCAGGGATCTATTGGGCTAGGGTTCAAATCCCTGGTTGTCCCTGATGATTAGCCTTGGTCTGTGAGTACCAAAGTGTGTTTGTGAGTTTCACCAAAGTGATAAGTATCCATGATCCTTTACCCCTGGAATCCACGTATTGTACCTGGTGTGTATATGTGAACAACTCATGTTTTGTAATGGTAATAAATCTTACAATTCTTTTTCATAGAGATCGTCCTTGGGGTACATATATCCATTTTCTGCGGCGGGATGGGTTACCAATTCACGGTACTCCCCTTCGGCATATCCACTGCCCCCAGGGTGTTCACCAAGCTCATGTTAGTGCCAGCTACCCTCGCAAGGTCGCAAGGAAGACGTTGTTACCCTTACCTCGACGACTGGTTGCTCAGCGCTGTAACTCACACGGTGATAAACATTCTAGTTCTAGTTTGACTGGAGTGGATCAGAAACCTCAAGAAATTTGGCCTGGTACCCACCCAGGACTTGGTTTTTCTCGGGGCGCGGTTCCAAACTCACAAGGATCTTGTCTCCTTGTTGCCCAACCGGGTCACCAGAGTACGGGAGATGGTTCCTCTCCCAGCGCCAGACACCAGCGCGGACTTGGCTCTGTCTACTGGGTCATATGGCGGCAACTATCTCTGTAGTATGGCGGGCGCGGTTGAGGATGCGCCCTATACAGCAAGCTTTGGCGAGTCTGTGGGCTCACTCGGAGGATCTGGAGCAGTGTCTCACAGTCCCCGGGTGGTTGTCTCCTCACCTTCAGTGGAGGACCATTGTCGGGAATCTCTCCAAGGAGATCCATTTGGAAATCGTGACGCCAGCTCTTACAGTTCAAACCGATGCGTCCCTCACGGGCTGAGGGTGTGTGTTCTGGGCAGTCCGGACTCTGGTCCGAAGCCGAAGCCCGCCTTCACATCAACGTCTTGGAACTGAGAGCTGTGCGGTTGGTTTTCGAGCGCATCCGGGAGCATGTTCAGGGCCAGGTGGTTCATCTTCAGTTGGACAACTGTACGGACATGACGTACATCCTGAAGCAAGGCGGCACGGTGTCCCTAGCGCTCCTTCGGGAGACGTGGGAATTTCTCCTCTGGTGCGACTGTCAGGTGCTTCCTGTATATCTCCCGGGGCTGGAGAACGTGCGAGCAGACGCTCTCTCTCGCCGAATCCTGGCCCTGCGCGACGAATGGATGCTCGACCGGCAGATATTCGGAGTTATCTCCCAGTTGTACGCATCGTTCCAGATGGATCTGTTTGCGTCCGGCAATACCGGACCAGAGGGCGTTGGCTTCCGACGCCTTCCTGCTGGATTGGACGGGCAAAGTGCTCTGGGCGTTCCCACCGTTACCACTCATTCCCCGGGTCCTCTCCCAGCTGTCCACCCAGCCAGCTCGGCTGCTTGTGCTACTGGCATCGCTATGGCCGTCACAGAGCTGGTTTCCGGTAATTCTCAGGTTTCTGGCTCAGCCTCCTGTTCTATTACCTTTGTGACCGGACATTCTCACTCAGAACGTCGCGCCATACCCCAATCCAAGGATTCAGTGGGTGGCTTGGCCTCTGTCAGGTCTAGCCTCAAAGCACGCGGAATTCCTGCAGCAGTTGCAGACACAATTCTGGCTTCGAGGCAGGATTTGACAAACGTTCAATATGAGGATAGGTGGTCCCGCTATGCGGCGCTGGTGTTCATATAAGGGGATTGCAGATCCCTTTAGTCCGAGTATTGGAGTTTTTGCAAGCTCGTTTGGAAGAAGGCTTGGCGGCTTCGACCATTCGTGGCTACTCCACCGCTATTTCCACTTTTCACATCCCTGTCGATGGTGCTCTTCTGGGGCAGCACCCTCTTATGCAGCGCTTTTTAGCTGGCGTGGATCGGGTTCGACCTGCTGTCAGGCGGACAAGATTGGCTGCAGGTCCTACGTTCTCTCGTCTATCGGCTATTTCCATTCAGTTGTTAACATGGAAGGCTGTATTTCTGGTGGCGGTAACATCTGGGCTTAGGGTTGGCGATTTACATGCTATGTCGGCAGACCCGGCACTGACTGTGTTCCATCCAGATCGTGTCAGCATTCACCTCCCGGATACTTACCGTCCGAAGGTCAATCACGCTTTCCATGTGACAGCTCCTATCAAACTTCCTACTCTTACCCAGCCTTTCACATCGGGGACCTCTGCAACGAGCACTCACCCATTGGATGTCCGAAAGACTCTCAAGGTCTATATCAAACGAACACAAGGGGTCCGTGACGACGGGTACCCATCTGCAAGCCTCCCCTTGAGGAGTTGAAGGCTCACTCAGTCAGGGCAGTAGCCACATCAAAGGCTTTTGCATCGGCACCACCCATTGAAGAGATATGCTCTGCCGCTATTTGGAGCAGGCCTAGCACTTTTATCAGGCACTATCAGCTCGATACACATTCATGTGATCGTGCCCGTTTTGGCTGTTCTGTTCTCTCCAGTGGACAGTGTCCTGCCTCCCTGACAGAGTGAGTCTTGGTTATCTGGACAGTTGACGCTGCTTTCAATTGAGTATTATTGATATATCCGCTGTTGTGTGATCTAACTCATTTCGATTCTCTCCGGAGATTATGGTCGGTTGTGAGTTGGTTTTTCCCCCTTACGGTGCTCTCTAATAGATCATGATGTGGGCGGGTTTTATTTTGCACTGTGTGCGAATTACTGTGCTTAGCCTATGAGGTCGGATCTAAGTACTTATCCTCCCTGTCGGTTACCCTCCCATAATGCCTCTCGCGGAAGCTTTGGGACACGTGACAGGTGAGTGTTGTGGCGTCTGTTTCATTCTTTCTAACGATCGCTGTTTATGTGTACTTTGACAGAATTCCCTCCTCCCTGGCCTCCGGTCTTTCGGAGTCTGAGTTAATGCATATATGTACCCCAAGGACGATCTCTATGAAAAAGAATTAGCTAAACCTGTAGAGGTTTCCAATTCTTTGAAGAGAGTCGTCCTTGTGGTAGGGCTGCCCACCTCCCCGCAATTCTGTTCACTGATTTATTCAGCAGAAGGAATGATGATACGGGCCTAGGTGCTTACCTGGTTTGCAGCAGGGAGGTAACTCCACGTGGTGGGGGCCGTTTAATAATAGATAAAAAGGATTTTAATTTATTGTACAATATTTTTATTAAAACATTGATACAACTGTCACATGACATTTTCAGCTGCAGAAAATGCATATATGTACCCCAAGGATGACTCTCTTCAAAGAATTGGAAACCTCTACAGGTTTAGCTAATTTTCTGACATTTACATGTTTTTCTTTCTAAGCAAATGTTGAACTTTAGAATTCATTTTAAAGCCTATTGAAATGCACTGGAAGAATTCGTTTTCTTATGCATGTATTGAAATCCATTTTGATGAGAAATATCAAATTCTATGTTATTAGTTGTTGCAGAAATGGCTAACATTCAGAATGGCCAATTGGAAAACATCAGTTATTTTGCATATTACATTTCTGCCCAATGTGGGCAGTGGGATTGCCTAGTGGTCAAAGCGTTTGTTCATCACACCAAAGACCTGGGTTTGAATCCCTACATGGGTACTATATCTGAAGCCCATTTCTGGTGTCCCTGCCATGATATTGCTGGTATTTGCGTAAAGTGACGTAAAACCAAAATTGCTCACTCATACTCACATGTGAATAAAAAAGAAACACTGCATTTGTGTAAAATGTGACTGTGCATAGAAGCTTTGACAAAAACATGACACGGCTCATCCTACTGTGCGAGGCAAGGCAATAATTCATGTTATTGTGCTTGATATAAAAATATGTGTATTTATAAACCAGTTAGTAAAACAAGGCATGATCTACCCGACATATTTGCAGAACCCCAAAGACTGTGGTTCAGCCAAGAAGATCGTGTGTAACCTGCACAAGGGTTGTGGGTATGGATGTCAGCTGCATCACGTGGTGTACTGTCTGGTTGTGGCCTATGCCACAGAACGCACCCTGGTACTGGAGTCCAAGAGCTGGAGATACGCCCCCAAGGGGTGGGAGACAGTGTTCCTGCCCCTCAGCAACACCTGCAACACTCGGTCAGGGGAGCAGGCTCACCACTGGGGACGTGAGTAGCACACCACTGTACATGTACACACACCATGCCAAGCCACAACATGCCACAACGCGAAACACACCACACATATGCACACAGAGGGGATGAGTAGCACACCACTGTACATGTACACACGCCATGCCAAGCCACAACATGCCACAACGCGAAACACACCACACATATGCACACAGAGGGGATGAGTTGCATACCGCCCCTGCACGCACACACATGTGCTCACACTGAGGTGTATGCCAACCTATGCACATACCCAAGCCATTCCACTCTATACCACTTGATTCTGCTCCCTACCCCAAGCCCCACCATGCCACTTCTCTTCTCACTACATGCCATGCCCCCTCCACTCTTCTTGCTGCACCAGGCCCCCTCAACACATCCACAGAGGGACGTGAGTCTCGGACCACTCCATATTCCTTATGATAATGAAGCCCATTTCTGGTGTCCCATCCATGATATTGCTGGAGTATTGCTAAAAGCAGCGTAAAACTAAACTTACTCCTATATGATAAGGTTCCTAGTGGGAATCAGCTGTGTTGATCATAAGAGACAGCAGTGAGTTATCTGGATGATTCTGTATCACTCCCAATGTCTTGTTGGTTGTGCTAGGAACCACTGATCTGTCATGTGGCAGGGCTGTTGCTGACTGCTGTACTGTAATAACATCTAGGATACTTGCCAGGATCTAATATGAAAGACATACATGTATGTATAATGCATAGTTAAAACTAGCTAACTCACTTTGGATAACACCACATATTAAATTTAGGATCATTCTCTTTTTGTCATTTCAGCTGCAGCTCAGATTCAGAATGCCAAAATTGTTGAGCTTCCTATTGTCGACAGCATGCATCCAAGACCAGACTTCATGCCTCTTGCTATCCCACAAGACCTTGCTCCAAGACTCCTCCGTCTCCATGGTGATCCTCCTGTCTGGTGGATTGGGCAGTTTGTGAAATACCTGACACGTCCTCAGCCACATCTGAAAGAGGACATAGAGAGGACAAAGAAGGCTTTGGATTTTAAGAGCCCAATAGTTGGGTATGTTTAACAGAATGTGTCACAAATGCATATATCATTAGAATGCTGCAAATTCTCATGGACTAAACTGACTTTTACCTGGGGTGTCGATAGGTAGGTAATATATTTTAAAAGGGCCACGGGACCAATATTACACATATATCTAACATTATAAGTTTTTACAATCCATCAGAAACTTTTTGTTTATATGGGTAATGCATCAGTGAGTGATTTGAGAGAAGTGTATTCAGAATTTTAAGGTCACAGGTCAAAAGCATATAATATCTCATTAAGCACATACAGCTAGAAATTTGAACATATTAACAAAACCCAACTATGTCAAAATGCAGAAAACAACATGGCCAAATAGTGTGACACTTGGTGTTTTATAGCATGAAATAAATACTTTGAAAGTTGAACTATAGTATGTTTACATGATTGTGCTGGACATAAGTTTAATAAAAAACTGTGTTGAATATTGTATGATGACAATTTTTGAAACGATGCTTATGCCATCAAGAGTTGTCTTCCTTACCTGCGCTATTTTCTGAGCATGATGAATTATGTCCCTTTGTTACAGGGTGCATGTACGGAGGACAGACAAAGTGGGTGTAGAGGCAGCCTTCCATGGCATTGATGAGTACATGGAATTCGTCAATGAATATTTTGACCGCTTGGAGGCAAAATCTCCTGTTGAAAAGCGAAGGATCTACCTTGCCACAGATGATGCAAATCTACTTCGAGAGGCCAGAGAAAAGTAGGACAATAGTTTGGTTTCTCATGTTTTGATGATTATTTGTGGAAAAATCATATTCAAGCATATCTTAAAGATCTAATCGGGGTCGAACAAATTTATCATTAAAGATTGCTCAAACTAGGTGATTTTGGCATAAGCTTTCCCTTGCAAGATATATTTTCATATGAGAAGTATGTCATATTTGTTTCTGTTGTATAGGAATGAGTGACCCCAGGTTAGAATTCGTATCCAAGGCCATTACTTGATGTAAAAGGTGTCTACATTAAACTACTTAGAAGGTGTGATCCCAAATTTAATTTTGTTATTTAAATAGGATCAGATGGTCAGTTTCAGTGGCTTGGTTGGCTGATTGCCGTTATTACCTTGTTGGGATTCCTTACAAAGTCTACTTAGGGGTTGCATTTACAGACTTGATTGTGTATAGGCTGTGGAGATTGAGCTGGACTGGTCTACTTAGGGGTTGCATTTACAGACTTGATTGTGTATAGGCTGTGGAGATTGAGCTGGACTGGTGCTGACATCAAGTACAAACCAACATGAAGTTCTTGTGGTTTCAGGTACTCTACCTACCATTTCATCAGTGACAATGACATCTCAAAGACTGCAAGTCTAGGCACACGCTACTCCGACAGCTCTCTACGTGGCGTCATCCTCGATATCCACTTCCTGTCCTTGTGTGACTACCTGGTGTGCACATTCTCATCACAGGTAAGGAGATCACTATCTCATCACAGGTAAGGAGATCACTGTCTCATCACAGGTAAGGAGATCACTGTCTCATCACAGGTAAGGAGATCACCATCTCATCACAGCTAAGGAGATCACTATCTCATCACAGGTAAGGAGATCACTGTCTCATCACAGGTAAGGAGATCACCATCTCATCACAGCTAAGGAGATCACTATCTCGGGTCACACATCACAGGTGAGGAGAGATCACTGTCTCATCACAGCTAAGGAGATCACTATCTCGTCACAGGTGAGGAGATCACTATTTCATCACAGGTAAGGAGATCACTATTTCATCACAGGTAAGGAGATCACTATCTCATCACAGGTGAGGAGATCACTGTCTTGTCACAGGTAAGGAGATCACTGTCTCGTCACAGGTAAGAAGATCACTGTCTCGTCACAGGTAAGGAGATCACTGTCTATCTTATCACAGGTAAGGAGATCACAGGTAAGAAGATCGCCGGGAGATCACTCTCAACACAGTCACAGGTAAGGAGATCACTGTCTCAACACAGGTTAGCTAGAAACTATTTCATCGCAGGTAAGAAGGGAATTCTCATTGAGTAATATGAATCCCATCTGACTTCCTGAAGACAGAACACTGGCACTGGTCTGGTCCAGACTCACATTTTTACAGGCAGCTAATACAGCTTGAATTTTGCTGTCTAAAATGATAATAGCTCACCCATTCACTAGGCCAGAAACAGGATTCTGTCATATTAATGTTTATGAAGTTGTTTAGTGTCTCTCAGAACTAATATATACTGTTAAATCTGAACATGCAGGCAGTTTTTGAAATGCATCAATTAAAGTTATTCAAATTAGACATTCCGCAAGTCGAGCCTGTGCTGTTGTTATGTCCCTACCATTTTAATTACCTCCATGTTATTTCCACAGGTGTGTCGTGTGGCATACGAAGTGATGCAGACGATGCACGGCGATGCCTCAACATGGTTCAAGTCACTTGATGATGTCTACTACTTCGGGGGACAGAATGCACACAACATGCGAGCTCTTGAACCCCATGAACCGAAGAATAAACACGAGATCAAGATGGAGGTGGATGATCTGCTGGGCATCGCAGGCAACCACTGGGATGGCTTCTCTAAGGGTGTAAACCGGCGCTCAGGACAATCAGGCCTTTACCCATCATATAAAGTGAAGAATGAAATCGCTGTAGTAAAATTCCCCACATATCGAGAGGCAGAGGAAGTCAGGTGACATTAGCCTGTTGTAGATTGGCAGATTTTAAATAATTATTTTTATACATATGTTGAGTCCCAGTCATTATTTGACTATAACTTTGCCATGAGAACTGAAACGGTGTATGAAAATGGATATTTTGATGTAAGAATGAGACTACTCTGTCAAGTGTGGTCAGTTGTAGGTAAACATTATCATATGAGCCTGTCATAGTTATTACTACCCTGTAGCCAAATACAGATAATACTTCTGTGCTCAATGGCTACTCTACACATTCGCAATCTGAAGATGTTTTGTAAAGGTTAAATATGTAAATCTCCTATACTGAACAATGTATGAGTTGTATGATCACAATCAATAGTAATGTTCAGCTTCCAGATGTTCTAGGTAGTAGTGAAGCTGTAGACCAGCTGTTGCCCGAGTGTTGCCAGGAATCTACGTGAGTTGATGAGGTAGGACAGAAAGTATAGCTGACAGCATACAACAAGGTTTCGTTTGAAATCAAACTATACAGTGGGAGATCAGCATGGAAATTTTCAGTTTCCAAATTATGGAAGTTGTTAGGTTCAAATAGTGCTCATCAACCAGATTTAGGCCACAGAAAATAGAATGAAAGGTCTGTAGCATGATTACAATGTACAGGTTGCTGCTGGTTCAGTTGTCATGGTTCAGTCTGTTATTTTTTTAATGATGCATGTCAGCTGCCAGTGTTTTTATAAGATTTTACTCTGATGGGTGTGGTGGGTCTATGCTTTTGCTCGCTCCTTCTGTTGTCACTCCTGTTGTACCTCTGATCATTAAGTAAACCACATTCACTTGTCAATACTAGGGGTGAAACGGTACGCTCTTACAATGGTACGGTACGTATTGCGGTACAAGGCCTTCGGTTCGGTCCATTTCGGTTCGGTATATGAGATAAGATCATAATGCAGAAAACTGACAACAAGAGCCAAACCTTACATTGTTTAATAACATGGAAAAAAAAAAAATCATTATTTTTGTTATTTTGAATGAACAAAACTCATTTTATGACAAGATAGAAGAACTAAGTATCACTGGAACCTTGGAGCTCACAGCTGTGTGGCAAAATAACAAGTAGCCAAGTATGATTAAAAGTCACTAAAATCACATCAGTATTTACTGCAGTTGAAATCACCACTTCCAAGAAATGTTCATGTTTAAAAAAACACACCAAAAAACAATACACAAATCAGATCCTATCGAATGTGACTCTGTTGATGACACATCACAGATAAATAAATTAAACAAATTAACTCAACACAGTTGTCATAAGACAGTTACAGTTTGTGTGACAGATCATTGTCCTTGCTCTAAATCAGTCTGTCTCTCGTTTCAGTCGGTTAAACATTTAGAGACTTTCCAGTCCTTGGGAAGTACTGCTACACAGTACTGCTATCTTGGCACATTCCAGAATTTTGTTTTGTTCAGTTTTCAGATTCATTCAAAATATATTTTAAATTTCACTCAGAAATGTGTTTTTCCTTTCTGAAACAAATATGTTTTAGCTTGAGAATGCTGCTTTCTCTTTTTATTGGTGGTTAAATGTTCATTGTTCTGATATAGCTTGTAATGTGATGGTAGCAACAACAAACAAACATAAGTCTTAAGAACTGTGACGGAAAAGCCACCAGATCCATACCCATACTTACAGTCATCCCTCGCCATAACGCCGGTCTTGGGGTCGATGGATGACCCCTGAGTTATGAGACACCCACATTATACATTACCCGGAATATAGGCCAAGTAAAAATGTATTTGCCATGGACATAACAGAACTGCTATTTCGTGTATTGTGCCCAGTCAAAACTATATTGTATCGTCGTAGTTAAAAAACAAATAAAAATAAATATGTGCATAGGAAACCTGCAATCAAATTAAACATCACTAACATGATAATTCAGTTGTCCTTCCTGTTATGCTACCTGTTATTCAACTAAGCCAGAAATAACAATCAGCTGTGTACTCATGTTTTGCTCCAGTCTACCGGTGATTCAGTTAAAAACGATCTGAAAATATAACATCAAAGGATGTCTATTCCATTACCAGAATAATTTGTATCTCAAGCAGTTATTTTAACAGAGATAATATAAATCGCCATTGTAGTAGTGTAAAAAATTAACATACTAGGTTCACTTTGGGTTATGTGGCTGGATACATTTTACGTATGAGACAGTTTGACAAGTCACCGTTGACTTCCCGCGGTACCTGCCACTTTGATTGTATAAACAAAATGTTGGCAATTAATTGTGAAATGTGACTTCAATAGTCAATAACGCGGGTCTTGGGTTCCGTGGATCACGAGGCAGTAATCTGTTCGTGATTGCTGAGAATAATGTGAAATTGGTGCTATCGCGGTAGGCGCGAGAAGCGGACGCTTATGAACAAGGTAAGTGGAAGTGGTACGCGTATTGAATGAGGTTATGCATTTCACACACATTTTCTCTGATGTTATTGTAAACAGTTTTATTGAATGAAAATGGGATTAAATTTAATCAAATAAAATGAAATCGAGGAAGATCGTTTTATATGAGTTTTCTGACATCATACATTTTTCGATGGCAGTGTTTACCAGCACTATAACGCAGTGTGTTGCATCACAGCAAACATCGTAAGTACATGGCACGTATTTATGATAAAGTTGACTTTTATAAGTTATTACAATGTTTCGCTGTTCACCTAATTTGAAATAACTGAAAAAGAAACAGAACCCAGCTATAGCTACTGATCTGGTATCTGCAGTTGCTGTCTTGCTGACTTTGTAAGTAGATGACTTGAGGTGATCTCGAACATACTTCCTGGAAAATAGCGGCAGTCAAGCAAAGAAATGCATAGATATTGACCAGATGATTCAATTTGGAGACAATTTAGAAAAGGTTTGAAATGATTAATAAAATGACGGTACGAAAACCCAAAATACCGAAGTTTTGGATTGCATTAAGGTATTCCGAACCGAAGGCAAAGGACCGCGGTATACCGTTTCATCCTTAGTCAATACGTCATTCATTGTCGTCAGTATTCTGATTGTCGCCCAACTGTTAATGCATCTTGATGTTTGTGGAACAATGACAGGGTTTCATCATGACATTCTAAGAAGATAGCAGGTCTATATAGTATTCCTATTTTAAACAGATTTTTCCAGCTGATAGACTTAATGACTTGTCAGCCATTGCGGAGACAAGTCCGAAATATGATTTGTCAATGCCTCAATATTGTGAGATTCTTTTTTTTTATCTCAAATTTTATTTCAGTACTTGATCTGTAATTAATCAGTTTTATGTTGGAAAATCTTCCAAGATGTTAAGATATCATTCAGACATTACCATGCTATCAAAACTGCATTGTTGAACCTCTAGTTTTTCTAGTAAATCCTATTTGTCTCACCAACTGCCAGTCTCCTACTTCAGAAGGGTGCAACTTAGTTTCTTGCTGATTTCCTTGCTTTATACGGAGTCAGTAACTTTGATGTTCATTTAATGTTGTCATGTTTGATTTGAGTTTTCCTCAAAAATCCAAACCAAAAGATGACTATGACTTGGGAGATAGGATCAACTTTGAATAAGCTGACAAGAAATCTTTACTCGTCCTTAGATTTGTTCTTGTACCACTGAATTTTAACAGAATGTAATGTTGATGAGTAGATTGTCTACTCTGTCAGAATTGTATGGTGGTATCAGACTCTGTTTTTACATATTTTAATATTTGATGTTAATGACTATCACCTTACAGCACAGGTCTAATAAGTTAGCTCTGTTAACGATAGGGTGATAATTAACATTGGCTGACTGTGTCCTTCTACATGGGTTAAATGTACATAGTTCTGTAATTTATAAGCACTGGGTGTATTTTATCATTCCTGTGAAGATCATTTACTCATTGAACTAAATCATTAATAGAGAGATATTGTGAAGATAAAGTCCCATATTTATATGATATCATTGAGTTCAGTGTCAAACTTATAAAATTATTTTGTTAAGAGTTATTTGATATAAAACCAGGGTTGTGGTGGAGATATATTTTTTTCAAAGTCAATATTGCATGGGCAAGGTAGGACAAAATATTATGAAGTCATTTTGGATGATTTGTGAGATAATTTTTCGTTAACAGAACACTTGCATACATGTATGTAGATTAATTACAGTGCCTAGCGACATAAATATTTCTATTTTGTAATAACTTTATTCTTTAAAATTGACAATTGCTTGTTTTTATTGAATATAATACAGGCGTATATAAACAGTGATCTAGGTTAGATTATTTCTGTAATTGTTTAACAACTCAACAGATAATATGATATAAAATACACGATCTTGCCTAGTTTGGAGCAATATGTATAATCAAGGAAAAACATGATCTAAATATATCAGTAATCCAAGTCCTCAAGGGAGACCTTGCAAGGGAGATAATGGGAGATAACGCCAATTGGGGAAATATGAAACTCTGACAGTTAATCGCTTAAACTTTTGATTTTCCTTTCAAATCAAAGATAGGCTAGTGACATGTAAGAAATGTGTTTTGTTGTAAATTGATTTGATTTCAATTAAACATGGTAATATAAAATGCGTGTACTGCCAATTTAACATGTGGATTATTTTTGGATAAATCACTATTTTTTTGTATAAACAGCCATTTTCCAATAATGAAAGGTTTAATTTTGGAAAGAGCTATGGTTTTGAAAGGAAATGATGCTGTTGAACATGAACGTAGACTTAACATGATATGTCAAATTTGTCCCCAGTTTTGACAGCACTTCCATTTCCTAATATTTGACATGTGTAAATATTATTGTGTTGATACAGGGTGTTAGTTCAAATTATTGATGAAGAAAATGCTTTTTCTTTTTCATTCAGAAATCATCACATTGATTTTTCCCAGGGGCTGTGTTTGTTTGGTGTGTGGTCCAGCTATTTTTCTTTGTTTCTTGATCAACACATTCTGAGAAGGGATACATAGACAGTGGTTCTGTGTTTTTACATCATGCATGTACTAATCTCTGAGTGAAGGCACACCTTTTGTTCATGCCTGATTGAATTCTGAAACCAAAACATTAGAGCTCCACACATTGGACCTACAGAGCAAGTGCTGGAAGAGTAAAATGACTTTAGTCATGTGTTTCTCTGTCAGGCACATTGCAGAAAAAGCTTGTTTTTCTTCTTAAGTTAAAAAAAAATAATTGCGAGCTTGATTCGAGTTGAAGGCAGTGCTTATCAAGGTTCAGATTTCTATATAAGTATGCCTCAATCACATGAAGTCAGTCAAGCTGCATACTCTCTCACACAGAATTCCTAGGGGCAGTGGTGTAGCCTAGTGGTTAAAGCGTCTACTCGTCACACCAAACACACTGGTTTTGATTCCCCATATGGGTACAATGTGTGAAGCCCATTTCTGGTGTCCCCCCGCTGTGATATTGCTAAAAGCGGCATACTCACTCACTCCTTGTGGCCAGCCCTGTTCTGCTGCCACTTTCTAAGATATTGAAAAATGTCGAAAACTATTTCCATTTTGATATAGGTCCTTTGTTTATGTTGGTTGTACACTGTTAGTTCGTGTAGCCATTGAAGCGAAATGAAGAACTAAGGATAAGGTGACTTTGATGAGCAAGTCATGTCCCCTGCAGTTGTGGTAGTATATCTATTTAATATTGCAAAACAATGTGTGAAGTGCACTGAAAGACTTGCATTAGGCCATACTGTGTGTTCTTGTTTCCGAATAGGTGTATCTGTTTATAGAGATAGAGAAAGAGAAACATTCTGGTCACATGATTATGTGTGTTCACTGTTGCATCTCTCACAGAAAAAAATTCCGATTGAAGGTGCTAGCCATGTTATGGAATGTAATGGACATGAGGGTTATCTCCCTTTTGCAGTAGCTGCTGCTAATTCAAGTTTGGGGAAATGGTCATGGAACTATCCTTGTAGTAGATAGTTTACTTATGATAAATAATCCAAATTTAGGTTTGAGTAAGTTTTTTATTTGCCTATAGTTGGAAAATCATTTAACTGTATGGAGATAAAACTTAGTCATACTGAACTTCTACTTTGAAAAGGGCCGAGGAAACTGCAAATTTTCGATGGGGTTAAATGCTGTAGGACAAGAGTTGGGTACAAAATGTCTTACTGGGAAGTGTCTCATCAGACAGTGTCATATGCAGAAGCTTTGTCTTTACTCAAAGAAACATATTACGGTTGAATTCTGAAGAATGTATGCAGTCAGAAAGAAATTCAACTGCCTATCCAAATAGTGCAGGACTGACGGAGACCTGCCTTCAACTGCCTGGTGAATGGTGCAGGTTTTATCGTTACTTACATGTTGGCTAATACATACCATCAGGACAATACAGGGTGTGTCTGTGCTAACTGCCAGTTTACTTGCAATATTTAAACATTACAAGGCAGTTTCAGAATTTCATATATATATATAATTATCCGTGAATGAGAGAACTGAATATCTGTATAATTGTTTTTGCTGGTGTATAATATAAAGCAAAACCAATGTCATGTTTTGGTTTTGTCAACATGTGCAAACACTGCGGAGTGTTGTTCTGCAGATTTAAGCTTAATTTTAAAGAAGATGTCAGTTTTGTTTCATTTTTGCAAAAATGGGTTTTTTAAAGATTAATCAAGACTGCTTCCTTCCTTTACATTACTTTCTTCTTCAGTGCGTTGAGCAGGCATTGGTATGTGGACAATTGGTATGTGGACAGTTGGTGTGTGTGGACAATTGGTATCTAGGTTGTTTTTGCTGGGCATTGTATTATTTGCAGGGATTAAGATTACCGTGTGTATCTGTATATTGAACTAATTTGGTCAGCTGAAAATATTTGAATTACCAATGTTTGTGGGAAGGAAAAATTGCCACTCATCTTTTTAGAAATTTTGAGTTGTCCGATCTGTAAACCAAGTACATTAGGACAAACGGATAGTTATGGACATGTTCTACAGATCATTGTCGTGGGTGGTTGTCTGTACATAGGCTGTGGCAGCAGAACTGTTGTACAATGTCTTCCACAGAGTTACTTACTCAAACACATCCTTATGTGCCAGAGATATGAACGGAACAGAGCTCACAATGGAGATGTTAGTATCACAACTGATAAATAAATATTTCATCAGGGAGATGTATTGTTTTAAGTGTTCCTTTATATGGGATGTCATTGAATGGGAACAGAACACACAATCTCGGGAAGTGTTTTTGCTTCTACTGGTACATATGTTTGGCAAGGAAAAAGAGCATTACAAAATATTGGTATTCAGGTTTCTTCGATCTTGATCTCACACCATCAGATGTGACATTTATTTAGTTATTCTATTCAGAACTAACCAATAGATCTCTAATCTTTTCAAGATAAAAGCCAGTGTATGGCAGAAACACTTTAGATGAAATGTAGCATTGTCACCTGATCGCTCGAAATGTGAGGACAGATGCTTAACATGTCAAATGCAGTACTTTGTGTCAAAGCCTTCATTATTCCAGTAGGTTTATTTACTTTTGAATGTTATCCAGTAACCAGTTACTCTGTATTGTACTGTGATGTAGTACCAGAGGATATTCTCCCTCCTCCATGGGACAAACTAGTTTCATAGCCCCACAGAGGTTCGCCAGAGCCCCTAGTACCTACTGCTAGTTGACGAGCCAGTTTACAACCTGGATTAGGTGGTTACCTCTGTGGTGTGGGACCGGATATACTTACAACCTGTAGTTAGCCCTGATACAGCTGGAATCCCTGTCAGTCTGACCACCTGGAAGTAAAGTCTAGCAGGTCTAGGACATGCCAACGTTTATGAAACCCACGACCATGGGTATGGTGCTGCTAAAACAGGCTGCCGTCATATTGCTAGATAGGATTTGATATGACTAATTTGAAGATCCTACAAATCCATTCATCTCCTCTTGTATTTGCTATGTTCAAGAAGTAGTTAGATGTGTACATAATGCTGTGCAATGGAAATACTCCTCATGGATGATCAGCAGACTTCAGTGAGGACAGGACCATGAGAAATGGCAAAACCATGTTGTAGTATATTGACCTTGCCTGAGACAAACATTTATTGAAAGTGTCAGTGACATGTGAACCAATGAAGTGGACTACCCAAGGAAAAGCAAAGATCACATTATGGAATAGTGTATGATCTTTTCTCAAGTGTATGTTTGAAGTTCCGAGCTTGCTTGGACAGGTGCCCTTGATGCCACTTCACTGACCAGTCTTGGAACTTTGACAAATCACTGGTGATTGCACATTGTCTTGTGATGTAGAACTAAGGATTCTTTGCTGAATAATGTCAAAATGATGATTGTCTTGTTGATGCTACATAGTAAATTCTTTGTCATCTGTTTAGGTTAATGCAAAAGCTGTTTAAGACCATCTATAGAATAAACACCATATATATGCCTTGTAATATACTATTCACACTTCGCTAAGGATCAAATCATTGATTCGACAGAAAACTATGATGTGGGATCAAATTTGGTTTTAATATCTAAGCTTATTGTAAACATGGATCGGAGGTTTCAGTATGTCATTGCATCTTGTGGATCCCATACCTGCTGTTGACAGGTGTTGTTCATGTCTTTGACTCGTTCCATGATATGCAAAATGGTTTATTGGTGCCATGAAAACCATTTTTATGGTTACTCATGTATCAAGTGCATAAGGTTAGAATAAAGTGGCTGCTTGCCTAAAGAGGGTTTCCATATTATTATTTATTCAGTTTTAAATGGACAGAATTTCAAATTATAAATCTGTGTTTAGGTAAAGTCGTGAATTTTTGTGATCCTTATCAAAGTGTGAGTAGCATACCTGCAAATTTGCTAGTAACCCATAATGACTAAATGAGTAAGGAATTTCTGTCACAGTTGTATTAATACTACATTCTCATTTTGCTAGATTAGTTTTAAGGAGAAAATTACTCTATGCACAATACTCAAATAGATAAGATTACCTTGTCAGGTGCCCAAGATTCCAATGTATAATACAAATACTCCTGATGACACATGTATGTCATAGTTCACTTGCTACAACAGATAAAGCTTCCATCACTTTGCTCACGGGTGCCCATAATGGGAGACAACTGACTGCAACCCAGTAACCAGTTTCATGGTTTGGATAGGTAGAATTGCATGTTTTTGTAACAGTAGATACATGTACATAGCATAGTTAAAAGGGCTCTGGCCCAACGTGAGAAATGAAATCCATGATGGGTTACTTAAGTCTTGTTGAATTCCCTTGTTTTCCCAAAGTTTCCATTGCTCAAACTTGCAACTAGGACTGGACATGAGTACACCATGGATAGTTTTGCATGAAACAAGACTGATGGCAAAAGAAACTGAAGCCTTGATAATTACATTAAGCTGTATCAGTTGTGTATGTTTTAAAAAAAGACTTCACCCAAAATGTCACAAATTAAAAATACAATTTATGTGTCTATAGGTGTCCTTTGATTTGTCATATGAATAAAACCTTTTTTTTTTTTCCTATTCCTTAAAAATAAATGTTATGTGTTATTATTTGTTTGATCATTTACCCCGTTTTGTGGGGAGAAAAATATGTAAACTGGGCAGTATGAAAAAAATGTTTGGTATTGCTGCTGTAGGTTTTGAGCAACCACTTGTATAGGCTACAGCATCAATGTTCTCACCAGACAGTTATAATGGAATAGGTTTCAGGGTTTCTTTGTTTTATAGTCTGTTTGCAGTGAAAACGTACCGATGAATTTCACTTTAAACAAAAACGTAAATCAAATAAAGTGAAATTACACAGAGAACAAGTATGGTTGGTCGAAGTTAACAATCATCACTTACCACAGATGCATTTGTTTCACTGTTCTAACTACTGCGCTTACCCCCTTGTAATACAAACTAATAATAGCGATTTCAATCTATAATTGTTTGTTAAACAACTTTTATCCTAAGTTAAATAAAATTCTGAGATTTAAATGTTCAACTGGCAAGGTAAATTACGAGGATTCGCAATCTTAATTTCACTTTATTTCATTTAACGTGAAACCCATCGGTACGTTTTCACTGCAAACAGACTAAAAATGTTGATAAAGGTTTCTTCCCTTCTCCCTGTACATTGGAGCCTATTCCCCCCCCTTTCAGAACATAGTTGTGGCTGCAACAATGGGGTATTTTTCATTCACAAGAATATTTGAAAAATAACTTTCTGTGTGTATATGGTGGATTTGTATATTTTGGTATGGTCAGTTGTTTATTTTGAACAATCAAATGGGCAAATTTGATCAGCGACACCCTTACTGGAAACATCCTCATTCTTGTAGCATGATGGTTGAGGTTGGTGTTTTGGCCACCTTTGATCTTGTGATGTTTGTCTGCCCAAGTGTTGACGGAAGTTTTCTGTACATATACAACTATTGGAGCCTTTCAGGCTTCTGTTTGTTTCTCAGCCCGCTCTGTCATGATACAGGTTTTAGTTTTTCTCAAACATTTCTGCTTCAACCAAAATTTTATTCTTGTTTCACCTGTTATATACATACATAAATATATAAATGACATAACATGAATAAACTGATCATTTGTACATTTGTATTGTGTTGTCATTGAGGTTCAACTTACCTCTTTAGTGGAACTCATTAGCACAACAAAGGTGAAGCCATGATTTGAACATATTGGACGATTCTGGCACAAGGGACAACTCCTCAGATCTTCGATGACTAGTTCACAAGAAAGGTCAAAGGATATTTTTGTTAGTCAGCAATATCAGAACCAAATCATTATGGCCTGAAAAAAAGACAGTGTGTGAAATGTTCAGTGCACTTAACAGTATGTCAGTCATAAGATAAAATATACCACAAAAGTGTGTGAAGTGTTGAGAACATCTGACAGTACTTCAGTCATACAATATACCACACAAGAGTGTGTGAAGTGTTCAGTGCACAGTATGTCAGTCATAAAATATGTCCTCACACATAAGCCAAAGTAGTCAGAAATAGAAAAAAAACAAACTTTTTTCCCCGCATTTATATCTACAATCTATGTAGTTAATATATGAAAGTGTGAAATATCTGTTAAACCTAACAACAGTCTCAGTGGTAGGGAGATACGAAACGTGACAAAAGGACTTTTCTGAGGAGTGGTTAGTGCAGAAATGAGCAATGTCCAAAGCGACTTATTTGGAACAGACCATGGCTTTATGCAAATTAGTGTGCGATGATATTGTATTACAAAGGACACTTTTTAAATGCCCATTATGTCATTAAACTTGGCTTCATGATAAACGATAGCTGACATAAACTGTAGTTGCGGGCAACGATGAGGTCTCCTTGGCTTTACTTTCTATCTATTGTATCTGAGGGCTAGATATCATCGTCCAAAATGGAGCCAGAACACATGTTTTGACAGGTGAGCGGATCCTCCAAATACAGCTGGGGTCACCTTTTAAGTAGTTCCCGGAGAAGAAATAGTTCCCTCTTTAAAAGGCTGTATCTCAGTTGTTCTAGGGTCTACGTTCAAAACAATTAGTGTTCTGGAATCACCAGGACATCATCTACCATACTGGCACTTTTGTGTGCAGAATTTGCACATTTTGGGAGCAAACTACTCAGAAAAAATGAAAACAAAAATAACTGCCAAACAGTACGTTTTAGCGACTTGACCCGTCCAGGCAAAATTGTTGGGAATTCGATTGTGCATCTGTACAAGAAATTTGGAAGTGTTGGAACAATTTGTTCTTGAGATAGTTGCTGTCAAACGTTGAAATTTTGGAATTAATTGTGAATTATTTCCCCTTTGCTATTGGGCCAAGAGCCTAGATATTTTTAAGGGGAATATCTACACCTGGGTGCGCATCTGTGTGATTTTTTGTAAGCGATTCGGAGCATTGGTTTAGGAGTTATGTTTGGTACAAAAATCGGTGGAATAATGAATAATAATAATAATAATCAGAACGATTACAATAGGTCTCCTGCCTACAGGCAAGGAGCCCTAAAAATACTAACTTTAATACTGAAACTAATAAGGATGTAGCTGCCATGGAGTCTCACTATCACTATAAAAAGAAACAGGTAGGAGGGGTCGTCTCAAAAGCAAAACCAGGGCGGTTGTCGCAGACGGTGGTTGAGGTCGGGCTGGGGGAATGGAGATATCAGCTATGATAAAATAATCCTTTAGGCGAATTAAACTGGGGAAGGTGAGGTGAGGTGAAATTGGGTTTTACGTCGTGCTTGAGAATATTTCGCTCACATGACGACAATAAACTGGGGAAGAAAACAGCATGTCATAACAATTTACAAATAATATCCAATCCTGTCAATCTTTTGGTGGTCATGCCACCTATATATTTTGAGACATTTAATACAATGGCTGATATATGCTTTTCTATGGGTTTCATACTCTTTTACATATCACAACATAAACTGTATGAAAGAAAGACACGTAAGATGTTAATCAATAGATGAAACATATTCCCACACAGACCCGTGAAGGTCCGGGTTAGAATATTGATCTTCAGTAACCCATGCTTGTCATAAGAGGCGACTAACAGGATCAGGTGGTCAGGCTCGTTGACCACGTCAACATGTCATCAGTTCCCAATTGCGCAAATCGATGCTCATGCTGTTGATCACTGGATTGTCTGGTCCAGACTCGATTATTTACAGACCGCCGCCATATAGCTGGAATATTGCTGAGTGCGGTGTGAAACTAAACTCACTCACTATTCAACACACATAAAAAAAGCATAAAATATCTTTGAGATGACCCCTTGTGTCTGTAGGCATCACATGCATTTCATACGTTGTCATACCTGTCTGAGCGACCTGATTGCCAACTAAAGTCTGATCTATTGTTGTCAGCAGCCATTCGTATTTTTTCTGTTTTGCCCGATTTTACGAGAAGACATGCTTTTCTGGATATCCTATTAGGCATCCCACTGAACACCCAGCCGATGTGGGTTATTTCGACATATAGTTTTTTTCTTTTTCCAACAGGACTTTAGTGAGATGGTTTAACAGTATCAGCTCAACAAACAATTTATAATGAGTGAGTGAGTGAGTGAGTGAGTGAGTTACACCGCACTCAGTAATATTCCAGCTCTATAGCGGCGGTCTGTAAATAATCGAGTCTGGATCAGACAATCCAGTGATCAACAGCATGAGCATCGACCTGCGCAATTGGGAACCGATGAAATGTGTCAACTACTGAGCGAGCCTGACCACCCAACCCTGTGGTAGGAAAGAACCCAGACAGGTCTATGACAACTGGTAAAGCCAAAAGATCAGGATGAATTGGGAATTCAAATCCAACATTCCAGGTTTTGGGCATGCCTAAGGGACAACCCCACACAGCTCTGTGAGGCACTGGATGATGCAGCTACCTGTGCCATGTCACCTGTAGTATGTCGAAACATATGATAAACAATGGTACACATTCTCACAATCAAACACCTATCAGATGTACACAAACATGATTGCTGAAGCTGCATTTAGATGAAAATAGAGTTGGCAGAGTGGTTGAGCGAGTTCCCCATGTTTACAAACAGAACTACACCCCCTCACAATGCCTTCAGTAGCTTCTTCCAATTCATCCTCTTCTTGGAAGATGCCTCCTGGCATGGCCAATGTGGAGCTGTTAAAAAAAACAACCAACCCCTAAAACAACTACATGTAAATATACACTTGATATGCACAATGGTCTTTTTGAAAACAGGTTCTTAAGGCTATTTCCTTGACAGTAAATGTAGATCACGCTTAACATTTTAACCATCTTCCCCAGTGTTACACTAATCTGTAACATCTTCACCATGGGTCTGGGTATGGGTCTGCATCTGTCATATGCAGGCCAAAAGGTATTGTTCTGAAGGCATTTTGGTTTTATCACTAAAACTGCTCGCCCAAACGCACTCAGTGCATACTAGACGTATCACCCGAACACACCCGGAAAAGTGCACGGGAAAAACGAATAGGTTTTGCATATATAAGATGGTGGTCAGCGATACACGGGGCATTCGCTCCTTTCTGCCATTCGGTGCTATTAGTTACAGTTCGTGTTTAGGCATTTAGACTACGAATGACTTAGATGTTAGATGTGTATGTTCAATTGGTTATTGTGGCGTTAGATTGTTGAACTTGCATTAGTATGTTTAAAGGTTTAGGCAATTAGCGGTAGTTAGCGGGTCATTTCATTTCAAAGTTCATTTAGAATCACTTAAGAGAATCACGTTTAGTTCTTTGTAAATTCCATAGTATTCTCACTTTTAATAGTTATCACGTTTAGTTCCTTGTTTAAGGCCAAAAGGTAAGTTTGAAATTTTAGTTGATTAGGATTTCAGTTAATCTGCATAGCTCTGCCCAATCGTTTTATTTTCCACTGCGCAACATTTATGTTTAAATATTATTCCAAAATCAAGGCACATTTGTCTTCCAAACATCACTGAATCAAACATATGATCATGTTGATAAGAGCCCAAGAAATCATCACATACACAGGTGCTGTGAGTGGAGTGGAGTGGAGTGGAGTGGAGTGGAGTGATCAATTGAGCGAGTATGGTTTTACGCCGCTGCGATATTCCAGCAATATCACGGCGGGGAACACCAGAAATGGGCTTCACACATTGTACCCATGTGGGGAATCAAACCTGGGCCTTCGGCATGATGAGAGAATGCTTAAACCTCTAACCTACCCTACTGCCCCTCACAGACAAGGGTATTTCCAGACACGGTCAGCTGCAGGTCAAAGAGCAAATCTAAAAGGTGTGGCTGTATCTGTTAACCCTACAAATATGGATAACACAGCATACAATAGTCAGTGTTTCAAGGACCTTTGGGCTTGACATTGAGAAATATTCACATACTACCTGAACTCAACTCTTACGTATAACCTGTGAAGATCCGGGTTAAAATTGATCTTCAGTAACCCATTCTTGTTGCAAGAGGCGACCAACGGGATCGGGAGGTCAGGTTCGTTGACTTGATTGACACAGTCATGTCATTGTATGGCAATTGCGTAGATCGATGCTCATGCTGTTGATCACTGGATTTTCTGGTCCAGACTCGATTATCTACAGATTGCTGCCATATAGCTGGATTATCGTTGCGTGCGGCATACAACTAAACACACTATCAATGTGTAGGGGGACTGTAGACTGACTGCTACATCACAAATAATGGCATCTTGGATTCTGTTACCAGTTCCTGGCAGAAGTAAAGGACATGGTAATCAAATGGGACAGTAGACTGAAAAGTTGCATAATGTAATTTGTATTGTTGTGAGGAAGCGGACATGCTTGGCACTAAAGTACTGTCGGAAATAGAAAAAAAACCTCTTTTTTTTCCACATATATATCTACAATTGATGAAGTTAAAATGTGAAAGTGTGACATATCTGTGAAACCAAGTTCGGCCTAACTAGTCTCAGTGGTAGGGAGATAGGAAACGTAAAAAAAGGACTTTACTGAGGAGAGATTAGTGCAGAAATGAGCAATGCGGTTTTTTTCTAAGTCCAAAGCAACTTATTTAGAACAGACCATGGCTTTATGCAAATTAGTGTGCGATGATATTGTATTTCAAAGGACACTTTTCAAAT